TATGTGGGGTGCTACGCTAATCGAATTTAAGAAACAAGGTTTATACAGATTACTTACTTTTGGGTATCACAAAAAGCATCTCATTAATATTTAAGCCAAACTACTAATCCTTTTACCAGATTATGGGTGTAAATTAATGTCCGTATTTCACCAAAAAAGCTGGCGTCCGGCCAAATGCTTCGTCTGTCATCTGAAGCCCTGGTGATTATTGCGCATGTGTGATATAACATCGATATGATATCGCCCAGCCCTACTTCATTTGTCAAACAGAGACGTCAGCCTACAGTGACAAGCACTGCGGCCAATAAGTTATCGATACCTCAGTTATGATCACCAGCGGCATTAGGTCTCGCTTGGCAATGGAACCATTTCCAAATGCTGTTGGATGCATTAAATCCCTATTATTCAAATCACGGTCCTCGAGGTCCGGGCACTGCTGGTTTTCCAGCCTCCCTTTACCTCTGAGCCAGGTGTGAAGCCTCTGACCAATCAGAATCAGTAATTATTAAACTAACTACCTGGCAGAACTGAACACAAGGCCTGGATTTGGAATCGAGGTCCAGTTTTGAAGAACCCTGCATTAAATATACAAGATGCTAAAATGCTCTAAAAAGATGGAAATACTACAGAAAGTTTCAAATTATTTGATCAAAAACATACAATAAAACTGGCTTGTTACAGACTAAATGAAACACAGAGCCCTAAATGAGTGAAATTAAGCTCACTTTTTCCCCACAGCCTCCGTCTTCTGGTTCTGCAGCAGGATTATGAGGCACCCCAAGCCCTCTCTGGGCAGTGCAGGGACCCCAACGATGGACTTGCTGATTTGCACGGCGAGCGTGTTGACGAGGTGGGCCTCCATGACCACCTTCACCGCCAGCTGGCAGACCACCATGTAGGTGGCGGCCTTGTAATCAGCCAGCGACGACTTCAGGCCCTGGCGACGCCCAGGAAACAGCGGGCAGAGGGAAAGCCCAGGTCACAGGCAGAACACGTCAGAATATACGCCAACGTACAGTTCGCGTCAAGCGTTTAAATGCAGATAGATGGGCAAGAAGGTACGATTCCCACCTTCTGGATGTATGGCAGCAGCTTGGCTATCAGTGTGTCTGTGACTTTCTCCACTGCGTCCAACGCGGAAACGACGGTGGAGGCATAGAAGGAGAAGATCACACGGAGCTGAGGACAGCTTCCGCCGGAATCTGCGTAGGCCTGCAGGACAGCGGGTGACAACAACCGGGACCAGTCAGTCGAAGCAGGACGCGGCATCCAAGAGTATGTTTGGCTAAAGGTCGGCTCCAAATACCAGTACCTTCACTGACTTGGTAACCAGTGTGCAGATGAAGTCCATAAAGCCCAGATCTTTGTAACAATGAGTGATGAGGGTTCCTCTGGCCAGTGGCACTCCAGGAATCTGACCAAGACGAGCAGCATACAAATCATCCCACGATATTACGATATTTAATACCCCACTGCCCTATATTGTTATACTGTTGCACTCTTTAGTGTTGTTTTTGTCCTTGCTGAGTATTGTTATATGTTGCAGTCCATGGAGAAACGTTGTCTCATCTCACTATGTACGTATAAACAGCTGACGATGACAATAAGTAACCTTGAACCGCACGACATCACTCCGAAAAAGCCCAATTGGAATTCTAGTAAACATTAGCATCACTGCTAAACACACTGAAGTCCCAAACAGGCAAATCAGCTGAGCTAACAAAGCATTACCTGGAGGCTATGCAGCCAGTTCCATCGATGAGTAGGATCCTTGATATCCAGAAGTTGGATAACTCTTACAAACAGTTTGGTTTCATGGTACGGCAGAGCACAAGCTATCAAGCTATCTTGGTTATAGAGGTGGATGTGGAACCTGTTGAAAATATCCAAAGACCAAAATTAACAATTAACATTTCCCCCAAAAAAAAAAAACAGCCTTAGCTAGACCAAGCCCAATGCAGGGCTGCAGTTGACAAATGTCTAAATTTATCTGAACAGCACATCTCAATGCTGTCAGAAACACAAACACATGAAGAACATGTAAATAGCAGAGAGAGAGAGAAGGCAGGTGCTGGAGCAAACAAATTACGAGGAATTCAAAGCGAGCTCCAAAAACCAGGCTTCCAAAAGCAAAAGTAGTTGTTTGGAAAGTCGCAGCTGGGTGGTCGACACCTCACCTGTGGATGAGCCACTCGATGCACTTCTGAGCCGGCTTCAACAGGAAGTAAGGCGAGAGGCGAGTCAGAAACAATGAAATGGAAGTGTCCAGCTTCTGGTTGACTTCTTTGGACTGAACGCTGCGCTCCAGCCCCTTGGAGGCCTGGCTGAAGAGCGTCTCCTGGAACTCCTCAAATAAAAGATCAATTCCCAGCAGCTCCTCCAGACCCGTACAACCTGACAGGGACAGAACAGAAAATGAGTATGAGTATATCAGTTAAGTGAAAAAACACCCCCCAGTAAAGTAAAACCCTTCAATCTGACAAACACAGTGTTTACTGGACGGTCACAGAATCAGTTACCCAAGGCAAAGAAAGTGTCTCTGTCGATTCTGGCAGCCTCTTTCGGATCAAAGAGAAGAGAGGCAACCTCTTTCCTGGTGAACAGGTTGGCATTATTCTGCGGCAGAGCCAACCGCTTGAGCTGATGCGCTAAAGATGTCATTTCCGTTGATTCCCGCAATCTAAAAATGTAACAAAAATGTCATTCATCACAATCAGTTTGGCAAACGATGAATCAAAATCAAAAGCACCTAAGAGTAGGGGTCAACACCATGCCAAATTTTTAATATAAAAAACGTAGCCCTCACTGTTTTTTTTTTTTTTTTTTTAGGTACGGACACATTTAACAGCGTACGGACAAACTGATGCTCGCTGCCCAATAGTAAGCCCTTTACTTTTCACTGAAGCCTGATATTTCATACTAATGATAATAGCTTTTTATGAGGCGTATATTCAGTCTATAAAAAGAAGCGAACACGTCTACAGTATGTTAAACATTTAACAATTAACGCAATAAAATCATGTCACTTAAACGTGCAACAGTGTAATTATAAGAACACTGACAGAAGTCTGCAAGTACATGAAACTGAATCACAAAACCCAAAATGACCAAACAAAAATAATTTATACGCAACTATTTACATTTCCCAAATAATAATAAAAATATATCGATTACACTCACAAGATGACTACATATTAATAGAAACGTGATACCAGCAACATAAACCCACCTCGCTACAGCAGCCTTGCTCTCACATGTGTAGTTTCACCTCTGCCCCGGAAGTAAAATTCATCTACCGGCAGATGGATATTGAATGAGTTTGTCAAAGCGCCATCTATTGGTTATTTGATGAACCTGCATGCTACCTTTTTTTAAAAGTGACTATCTTTAAATGTACTTTAAAAAGAAAGAACCTTTCTTTTTAAAAGGTACTTGCTTGTAACGGAAAATATTACTTTAGGCTAAATATAGTTTCAAAATAGTATGATCCCCTCCGGGGATCATTAAAGTACCATCTCATTACTCATTAATCATGCTAAAGTCATTGCGAGTAGAATCTTTAAAATGAATTTGCACTCTTAAAAGTTGATAGGAGTCGTCAGATTTTCTTGGCCAGTAACAGCAAATATACGACTGTTTAATTAGCTTAAGACTTACTACCTAATAACGAGTAATTTCAATATTCCAAGCTTTTCAAATTTTTTTGTCATGTACATACGAAACATACTTATTGTCATGACCTGCTCGTACGATCCTCGTGTGTGCCACGCCCCCTCATTACTTACGCGTGCTACCCCGATTGTGATCACCTGTTGCCTGTTGCAAGTCTGTTTCCCTAGGTGTGTCATTGACGTAGTTTGCCGTGTGCTCCCCTTTGTCCTGTCCACTTTAAATAAACCCCGTTTTGATATAATTCACGGCTCTCTCACCTGCTTCCCCGCTCGCCGCACGCCGGTCATTACACTTATAATCAAATGCTCAAATATATGCACGTTGGAATATGAAAATACAATATAGCGACATATAAAATAGGCCTATGTGTAACCGTTATAATTTTGACCTTGATATACTATTATATGACGCGCGTTTCTGCCTTAATGCATCTAATGATACGCTGACTTATAACTCGTATTCATTACAAAAGTCATTCATTACGGCACACGGGTAACGAATCGTTTTCCTCCTTTACGATATTAATTATTACACAGGGATTTCTTTTTTGCCGTGAAGTGTAATTACAATAATGAATAGTTAATAATTGAATAAAGTAATCTCAGTTTGTATAGAATATACATATATAAAGTATTGGGGAAGTTACTCACAAAAGTAATCCATTTCAGACAGAGCCACAGACGTGGAAAGTTCAGGTCCAGAAAGTACAAATCCAGACCAAGGTTTTGTTTCAACCAACCAGTTGAGCATAAAGAGTCATAGTCACAGAGTGCTCCACTGGCTGGTTGAAACAAAACCTTGGTCTGGATTTGTACTTTCTGGACCTGAACTTTCCACGTCTGTTTTAATCGATTACTTTTGTGAGTAACTTACCGAACACTGTGTATAAAATATAAAATGCGAAAGGGTAAATTTTTCTATCCATCTTCTTTTGTGTGGAAGTTGAGTCTGATGATTGGCGGGATTTTTAAAAATAATTTGCAAAATTGGCATATTGTTCGCATCTATGTACACGACTGTATCAGCGCGCGCACACGAGCGTGTTTGTATGTTCCCCATGCCTGACAGGCGCGCTGTCACGTGACGCACAAGTATTAATTGGTATAGGTGTCGCTCCTGCCGACCTAACTGCGGCAAGGCAGCCGGGGGGAGAGACAGAAAGAGTGGGAGGACAGATCGAGAAAGACAGCTCAGCCCAGCACGATCAGCACCGAGCCATCACCACCACGCAAATACACTCGCCGACCCAAAAAATACTCGCACACGGCGTTATTTCTACACCCCCGTCCAATTAACCAGCTTGGCGAATTTTGCATAAAGCTGCAAAAATGATGATGATGACCCAAGAAGAGATTACAGCGCAGTATAACAATGGATACGAGCAGGACTACTACATGGCGCAAGAGGATGAATGGGACAGGGACCTCTTGTTGGATCCGGCTTGGGAAAAGCAACAGAGGAAGGTAAGAAGCAGAATTAAATGCGAGAATGCAGTTTGTTGAATAAGAGCATATTTTGAAAGCGCCTAAACGTGTTATTACAATGGTGGGAGCAACTTTTTTTTTCAGATTTTCTGCGCACGGAGTTAAATTTTTTGCAACGGCTCTTCGATTCGTGATGAAAAGTTACCTGCGATGGGCTCTTGATTACAGTGATGCCAACTTCGGTCAACTGGCTGGCGAGAAATTTTCATTTCGATACACGCACTTACATGTATGTGCAGTTTTATTACCTTGTAAATAGTTTGCGGGGTTTGCAAACTACCCCAACGCTTTTGAAGTAGCACTTTTTAGGTTTATAATGGAATAATATAGATTTGTCGTAAGATTTCTTGCGTGAGTCTGAAATAGTGAGTGTCACGCCAGATGCCTGAGAGTTGGCAAAGCCTGTGATTAAGGGTTACTGAATAGGGGACAGGCAAATATTTTATGGTCGGATGCGGCTGGGCACCGGGTAACAATAGCGTGCGGTGACCGCGAGCCCTGGCATGCCTTCGGCGCGCGCTATGAGAGCTGTCAACAGATGCCGGCAGCACAGCATGACGTCTTTAGGATAAGAATGGATGCGGTGCCTAATTTTAACCGCACACCCGAAGGTCGATGTCGTGGGTTAATCCAATGTCCTTGACATGGAATTAGTGTATGCATTTTTTAAAATAAATATTGTTCTTGTAAAGTAAATTCTGGCAACACGATCGCTTTATTGTCAGTGACAGTGCCACATTGTTTTTTTTAAGTGTTGGTCTTTAGTTCTGCGGGCAGCATGTTAGTTTAAGGAGAAATGTGTTTATCTCTTCATATGTATCTATTCTTAATTTTAACACTGACTTTTAGTATCTCCAATTACATTCTATAAGTATGTTTTAGTGTGTGAATATTTTAAAATAAGCATTACTGAGTGGGAATTTGCGGATTTTTAAATGCTTCTTTGTAGTTTGGAGTAAATTAATTTGATGTCCCCTGAAATAGGGAGATTTTCTGAAATTATTTTTTAGATATTTTATTTGTAAATGCATTGGACTGGTCAGCTATATGCTAAAAGTCCACATTTTGCCAGTGAAAAGGATCCTCGTAACTGCATCTTATTTCACGTTACTGATGCAGGGACTCCACTAGAGATTTTGGGCCCCATGAAAGCACATTGGGTCCCCTACCCCAACCAATCCAGTGATGCTCCACATTTCTTATGGCCCCTGTCACTGAAGGGTCACTGGAATTGTCCTAACTCCCAGCCCCCTTTCGGCATTTCTGTACTAACATATGTCTCTTCTTTTTAGACCAGGGGTGTCAAACTCCAGTCCTGGGGGGCCGGAGCCCTGTGTAGCTTAGTTCTTTCCCTGTTCCACCATAAATGATTCAGCTCAAGAGCTGTGTGGTAATTAGCACAAGGAGTTGAATCAGGTGTGTTAAATGAGGGGAAACCCAAAAATGTGCAGGGCTCCGGCCCCCCAGGACTGGAGTTAGACACCCGTGGCTTAGACAGTAAAATATTATCCCGTCATCCATCCAGTCATCCATCTATTCATCCATCTATTCATCCATTCTTCACCTGCTTATGTAGTAAGGGTTGCCAGGATTTGAATACAGCCAGTCCCCAGGTTATGAACAAGTCTGTCTTTAAGTGGAATATGTAGTTAAATCGGTTAAACAGTAACACAAGAATAGTAATAATAATATAACAATAACAAAGTTACTACAAATGGTAACGTACTGTAGCTTGAGCCGACGAACTGTTGAAGCTGCGTAATGTTTTAATGAGCATCACAAAGTATTGTGTTCTTTCGTTATTACGAATCATTGTATTTAACCCGAATTTTTGATACAATAGGCTGTATGGCTGCCCGTTCATAAGTAAGAGATGTCTGTAAGTCGGGCGTTCTTAGCCTGGGGGCTGTCTGTATTGCCAACATTACTGCTCTTATTTATTTGATCTTTATTTTGCGCTATTATTCTTGCCGCCTTCAGCAATCTACAGGTATGTGTTTTGGAAATGTAGTGACTGTGCTGCTGGACCAACTGGAGCATCAAGAGTTCATGCTTTATATTTTTAATAGAAGGTTTTAACAGTAGGCCATTAATTTGGGCACTCTAATCCTGTAGGTCTGCACCTGGAGAGCAGAACTGTAAATGTCACTGGTGCCCTTCGTTTGAAATGGTTAGTAAATATATTTAGCGCTCGGGTGCTTCTAAGACGCCAGTGCCACTTTTGCTAGACGGTATCACATGTGCTTCCTTCGTCGACTGGAATTCTGCCTTTGTTCCAAAGCCTCTGTTATGCTTAATATAGAATCACCACCAGTGACCAGTGTCAGCGAAGGAACTTCTTTGAGTACAATGGACCTCCAGTCAGGACTATTGTGAATAAAGACTCACATGCACAATAGCTGAACATTGCTTAAATAAATATCCTTAAAATAATAATGAATTGGGGCAGTTAACAGACTAATGTTGCTGTAAATATCGGCTATTAAACTGGAGTCATAACTTATTAAGGTGAAAGTTACTGTTGTATGGAAAATGTGTTGGTGGAAGAGCAATGTTACATCATAGTAACAAATGAGTATATGGATGTGCAGTTAGTATTTAATCGGTTGAGTATATGGATGTGCAATTAGTATTTAATCTGTTGAGTATATGGATGTGCAGTTAGTATTTAATCTGTTGAATAACAGGGTTGAGAAAATAGTTTTGTAGGATCACACAGGGAAAGAGTGAGTAAAGATATGTGATTAGTAGTATCTTTTATTTACATACGTATAACAGGATGAATATCAGAAGCTTTCTTATTAAGACCGAGCCACAGTACCTTTCCCCTAACGCCATCCAGACCGGTCTAAACCAGTCTAAATATAAACCCTCTTGATGGCTGGAATGCGACCAGTTGTTTGTAAAGAGAGACCTTTTGTCGTCTCGTTGTTAAATCCACATGTGCCCATGGCTGCTGGCTTGGAGGTGACCCCCCCCCCCCACCGCCCCGTGCCCACACGCTGGGCACTGAGAGCTACGGCTGCTTCACTGGTCAGTCATCCTCCAGGCCGTGCCGATGGCAGGTGCTGGGCCGACATGGCCACGTTTGGATGCGTAATTGCTAAGGTGCATCCCGGCCAGCAGTGACGCTTTCTCACTGGTGATGAGAAAACATTTACAAGATCAAATCCCTTATGGAAAACAGATTATCCACGTTTCCTCCTTTCTGTAATTCACTGCTATGTCATTTCTGCCAGTGATGGACATTGATCAATTCCCCTATCTGGTTCTCGAACATCTAACGTTGGTATATCGCATAAATATTTACTCCGCACTTAATTACCTTTTTAGATATCGTAACTGTATGCCATTAAACATTTAACATTTTTTGTTAGTTCAGCAATGGTATCATCCATTTAAATGTGCCATTTGCCTGTAAGGCACAATAGGGGGCAGTGTTGCATCAGGTTTTCTCTATTATGGCATGACAGGCCTGTAGCACACAATGAAGCTGAACTCCAATGCTAGGAAATAATTACAGGTCAGCCAGGTGCACTTTGGCAGAGCAGAAATAAGCTGTTTTTCTCTGCTGTGATACAGTTTCGGCTTATAGCTCCTGAATGCATGAGTTGAATGTCATGTTTAAAATTTAGGGCTTGAAAGGAAATGTATTGTTTTGATGGCTAATAGTAAATGGCTAGAAAATAACTTGATTATTTGTAAAGGATCAATTGCTAAGGCATCACATTATTTTGTACATAGCGTATCCCAGTGTTTCCCAACCCAGTCCTTGGGGAACCCTGGACAGTCCACGTTTTCGCTTCCTCTCAGCTCCCAGCACGCCTGTACCAGGTATTCGGTGTTCCTGATTGGCTGGGAGCTGGGAGGGAGCAAAAATGTGGATTGTCCAGGGTTCCCCGAGGACTGGGTTGGGAAACACTGGCGTATCTTATGTATTGATACCTGGATCCAGTAACTACCGATATTGATGGTCTATCCCTCCTGTGAGCTATATTAACCTGTTGTAACATCAAATCAAGTCACTGGAATCACAGTTGCGGAGGATGAGAAGAGATTTCAAATGGACTCATCTAAACGGACTCATTATTGTTCGCGGTTGTATGGTGGTTCAACTCGCAGGTCATCAAATATTGTTAAGCCAAGAGCCCTTTATATACAGGGGTATATAGAGGGGTGGGGGCAGAGTGGCAGAGCTGAAAGCTGATTGGCCCCTGGAATGCCCCCTCCCCTGTCACTCACCAATTCAAAACATAACATTAGCTAGTGATGGCCATCGACATGAATAAGGCCTTCTTTATGATGCCACCGCTCTGTCCGTCGTCTGCACTTTATTTTGGAATTGCCCCTTTTGCTGTTCTGTCTTAAATCAGTGTTTTCCATTGTTATCCTGTTGTCATTGTTTAAAAATTGCTGCAGGAGAAGAGATGTCAACAAAATTTCATTGTACTGCAGTATAATGGCAATAAAGCTGTCTTATCTTATATATTTATATATACAATGTAGCATTCAGACTGAATTGCCAGCCCCTCCACCATCCTTTATTGGTCTTTGACTTTGAGAGGGAATCTAGGTTTTAAATTGACATTTATTTTGACACATCACACTGCACGGTGGCTCATCGGCGTCTGTCTTAGTGACTGATATTATCGCGAATCAGAGACCAGCCATGTCGCTGGGCCCCATGATGAAACGTCAATTTATTTGCGGCCGTATAATAGCTGTAAAATGAGCTGATTCAAGTGATGATTCGGGGGTGGGGGGGAGGCCTAGAGACGTTGACATGCGTTAGGAGATTTAAAAAAATGGGTGAATGGTCAGATATCCTCCGAATGGTGATCCAGGTAAATATAGGTTTGATTCCCGGTCGTCCTTCGAATGCTACTGTGTCAGAATTTTTAACCCTAACCCTTAGTTTAGAAAACACAGGTCCCTACAAGACATCTGATGACTGTATACCAAGGGGGTAGATTTGGGTGTGGATGACAGGGACATGTCCCTACCAACGTTGTGACAGTACTGTGTGTGTGTTTAGCGGGGTGGGCGGTTCAGGCTGATTTGGTTCCTATCGATGTTGAAACCAAACCTACGCTGTTGCTCTGTATAGTGTTCTGCGCAGTATAACATTTTTTACCTTCATTCGTTTTTTTAAGGCCAGCTTTGATTCGCTGATTATCCATCAGTACCACCTTATGCTTCCCCTTTACGATTTACATCGGTCTTTGTTCCCACTATTGATCAGCCTTCTTCCTGCTATGGGATAATGGTGCATGAAGAACAGGCGAACAATCACATTAAATGTTGCCTTTAGGGAGTGAAATGTAGAAGAGTTTTAATGGCTTTCCAGGAAAGTTGGATTTCCATGGAGTTTGGGTTGAGGAGGACCTTCCTGCACTGGTGGGGTGGCAAGTTTATGTATAAGTACCCATGCATGCATTTGTCACCAAGGAAACCAATGTCCTTGTCATGTGATGCACACAGTACAGCTGTAGGCCTGTACTGAATAATTTATCATAAAAGCAAATTATATAAAGCACATATTTATAGTGTCCAGTCACTGCAAGGAATATCGTGCACAGCAGCACTTTAGAACCCATTAAATCCTCAGTGTGCCTGTCATTCAGGTGTGTGTAGTTTGTCATCTATCCATTCATCCATATATTTTTTTTTTGCTTGTCCATTTGATGGTCACAAACATGTACAGTCAGTTCAATGAGGGTTGAGAAAGATGTTTTATATTTGTTTTGAAAACGTAATGTTTGTTAAAGATACCAAAAGCAGTGCATATTTGGAAAGCTTCTGCAGCCTTGAAGGTCGCTGCGATTTCCCCCCGTTTGTAGACGTTTACGGCCTGGTGCAACTCCCACCTGAGGAAAGCGGGGACACAGATTGAGAACATCGAGGAGGACTTCAGGAACGGCCTCAAACTCATGCTACTCCTGGAAGTCATTTCGGGTATGTGTTTTCATGCTTACCGCCTTTGTCTTTCTCGAAAGGTCAAAGGCCGAGCTGTTGTGGACGATCCCGTTACGGTCTGTAATGCTCACTACCTCCAGTTAAAGCATGGATGTCTGCCAGCAGGTCGGGATGCATCCTGAACACGCTCACCTGTTGCTCTGGTCTGGCAGACATCAGGCAAATCCTGTGCACTGGAGCATGGAGCACATTACGAGCCAAATGCCTCTCATGCCCTGTGCACAAGTATGACAGAAGTTGCTGAAATTATCGCTTAACTTTCAGGTGAAAGGCTCCCCAAACCTGACAGAGGGAAGATGCGCTTCCACAAAATAGCCAACGTCAACAAAGCTCTAGACTACATCACCAGCAAAGGCGTGAAACTTGTCTCCATTGGGGCAGAAGGTAACAGACCACTTTGAAATCCTTTCTGGTGACACTTGAAGGCAAATTTCTGATTCATAGGCTTTGAATATACCTTGAAGTGCTTATTGCATGGGTCTGTAGACTAAAACAACTGACAGTCATGTGTACGTCATGACTCATTAAGGAAACAAAATGGCTATAGCACCTTGATTCTGTTTTTATGGAGACATTACTCTGCTAATTTGTCTAAAGAACATTAAGGGAAAACACATGATCAGTTAATACTTAGACAAAAATGTCTAAGAGTCTTAGATGGATGGGTGATGATCGTTACGCATGAACAGAGGGAAGAACATGACGTTGCTTATGTGTTTCTGTAGAAATTGTGGATGGGAATGTCAAGATGACCCTGGGAATGATCTGGACCATCATCCTCCGCTTCGCCATTCAGGATATCTCAGTTGAAGGCAAGAGACCCAAAGTGTCTCATTTAAAGTGAAGGTTCCTAGTCCTGGGCCATTGTACGTAGAGGAATGTATTTGGAAATCTGTCTATGGAAGTTGACCACAGCTTTCGTCAGCTAAGGAAATGATTAGTTGTAGAACGTGCTCAGGTTGAAAGGGAAACTGGATTATGTAGCCCCTGAGGTTCAGGGCTGGGAACGTCTTGAGATATAATTTTGCGATTCATGTTCTACAATAATCTGTGTGATTTGCTCTCAGCATGTGAATAGCATTATTTTCTGATATAAGTTAATAGCAACTGTTGTTGCATAATTGTTTTTTCAACCACATTGTAATTGACTGCAACCTTTTATGCAGAAACCTCTGCCAAAGAAGGACTTCTTCTATGGTGCCAGAGGAAGACTGCCCCCTACAGGAATGTCAATGTCCAAAACTTTCACATCAGGTGAGCGCCAGGGAGGCTCAGTCTCTGCTCAGAAGCTCGCTTGTCTTTCGCACAAACGATGGCCCAGGTTGGGCTCAAAAATCTCATTTTGCTTCATTACATCTTTTTTGTTAAACTGGTAATGAATGTCGATGACTGATGCCCTTGGTGAGCTGAAAGGGATCTGAAGGTCTCATGCTCAGGTTATAAAGCGCAGTAGCCAGATAATGCTTACATAAGCGCCGTTATTCAGACACCGTAAATAGCGTGTCCTGCTTTTACTGTGTCGGAGGCCGTGATGGGCTCTGATTTACTGTTATCTCTCCCATCCAATCAGCCGTATCGATTTGCCGAGGGAGGCATGCTGGCTCCAATATGCATTGTCTGACCTCCGGTGCAGATATTATGGGTCTGAATGCAGGCAGGAATGTGTGGGTGGTCCGGATCAGTCAGATAGTTACTCAGTAACCAGACTGTCAACAAAACACACACACAAACACACACACAGGTTTTTAATTATATCTTCGTGGGGACTCTCCATTCATTTCTATGGGGGAAACTCTAATCCCCACACAATGACCTTAACCCCTACCCAGCCCTAACCTTAACCATAAGAACCCAAACAAAATACAAAATTTTTAGTTTTTTGATTGCATTCACAGATCTTTGTGGGGACCTGAAAAATGGTCCCAACAATATCAAAATAACAGTTTTTTCACATTGTGGGTGGCCATTTGGTCCCCACAATGTAATATAAACATAATCCACACACACACACACACACACACACACACTCACACTTCCTTCAATTCAGTCCGCCTTGGTCAGCAGTCTTAACGTGACTCTCTCTCCGACTCCATCCCTTCCGGAACATCAAGCTGGAAAGACGGCCTGGCATTCTGCGCCCTGATCCACAGACACCGGCCGGACCTCATAGACTTCACCAAGCTGAATAAGGTCCCTGGTGCTGTTGTGATGACATGGGGGGGTTTGTCATGCATGGTAGTGATAGCTCTGCTGTGGTCACTCGGGCTAACCGTGGGGGAGGGCTTCTCGCTTCACAAAAATGTCACATATCGGTGAGGAGGGGTCATCTTGGTAGGACTTTGTCCACACTGCTTGTGCTTCATTCCCCCTGCATGCAACAGTGACCCCCAGTGGTCTGGCTGATTTATTACACCTGGAGGTGCAGGCTAGTCATTAACACCATCATCCATAGGAAATGTTCAAATAATAAAGCCTTTCTGTGATATAAAGAGATATCCTGCTCCCAGAACTGGCTTTTGGGTTTTTTTTTCACCCATAGCTGCTCTACTTCTCCTCCTGATTTAGGTGTATGATGGATTTTTATTTTTATTTTGGCCCACTAGTGACTTATGATCACATAAAGGCATATGTTCCACCAAGACAGCAACTCTTTTCCTGAACAGAGGAATAAAAATGTGAAACAAATGTGAAAGCCACTATATTTATCTGTCGGGTTCGTGCCTGTACTGTGGTGAATTGCCTGTACTAAGGATGCTGTAATCAATACTAAAACAAATGAAGAAAATATAATAAAAAATAATAATAAACAAAGCATTTTACCACAATATTGTATGTTTACATATGATATGCTGTATATCCTCAACAATGTGTTTTTAAGTGGGCCTTGACCTACAGTTTAGCAATGCTGTTTACCAGTCAAAACAAAAATCCTTTTCTCTGTCTGTGTTCCTGGAAGATTTATCCTCCTGGTAATCTCAAAGGCATTCCTGTCCAACAGGAGCTCACAGACAGCTTGAGGTTTTATTTGCTGTGCCGTTAGCTGAGGCGGGGGGGGGGAGCCCTATTCTAGGAGAGACATGGGATTACTGCTGATATGATGGACAGTTATGCTGCCCCCTCACATTTCTGCTGCCTTAATCCTGCCCTCTGTGTGTAAACCTGGGTGGGGAGACATAATGGACAAAATGTCAACATGTCATCTTGTGATTGGGCGAGTTACACTTCAGTGACTGGGGGGGGGGGCAGTTACTCCAAGCTGTCACTGTCCTTTGGGTTGGGGCTCTATGGAAGTCACAATTGATGCCAGTTGGGGAGTGGGCTTCTATTCTCTCCTGGGAATAAACCTCTTGTTGTCGTCCCTCTGGGGCTGTCATGCCCTTGGCAGGAATTTGGCCACATCAGACATCCATAACCATCTTGATCCAACCATGCGGGGCAACTGCAGTTCAGGAATGCTACCTTGAGCTAATGCTAATCATTCGCCGTCCGATTGGACGCTGTCAGGCGACACGTGCCTTTTCAATTTGATCTGCGTCCAATGACCTGAACAGAGCTGAGTGATAGACGTTGCTTTGCCAGGAACATCGTGGTTGATTGGTGTGTCCCAGGAGGTTGGGCTACCCGTGTTTGCTAGCATGCTGCCTCACATTGCAATCCAGGAAACTGCTAACACCTGCTAACAACCCAGATGCATTATGGGCACTAGGACATGGTCCACATTCTTCCTTTTTAATAACTGTTCATACATGTTAAAACAAAAGAATGTCTTGGGAGTAAAAAAGTCAATAAAATACTGACGTTTAATGAGAACCGACCATGAAAATTGAATTTATTTTTGAATTAAATGTATATTAATATTATAAACTGAAGTGTTGAAGAGCTGGAACGATCCTCTGTATATTGCGATGTTTTTGTATTGAGGTGAACAAGTACATTATTCTCCATGCAGGACGATCCTGTTGGTAACCTGAACCTGGCTTTGGAAATCGCTGAGAAGCACCTGGATATCCCCAAAATGCTGGATGCTGAAGGTGACTCAGATGTTCTCAGAATCTAACTGCCTTCGCAATAGGCTGAGGCTTCCTCCCTCTGCGGTGACAATAACAGACAGCATAACAAGAGGCTGTTTAATTCATGTGCTCTCAGCAAAACGTAGACACTAAAATGCATGTTGCTCTTCCTAGAGAGTTTTGATAAAACTTTTGATAAATCTGAGTCTATTATATCTAAATGAATTTACCTCAGGAGAATCTGAATGGGTTGCTGTGTTTCTCCTTGAGCTGGCTTTGGTGTCCTGGTTGTTCTTGAGTAAAAATAGAAAATCGCAGTCAGACAGTATTGGCAGACTTTGGCAGCAGAGGGACAGAATGTATTAACAGTCACTCTGATAGATAGCCTATGTTTCATGGTCTGCTGGCTCGTACCAAAGTTTGCCAGGGTAATTTATGAGTTCATAAAATGCCCCCCCCACCCCAGTGAGGCACTCTGGGGGGGGACACATGGGTGACTGTGTGGGGGCGGGTGGGTAAACTGAAAGGATGACCTTGTTCTCTCCACACAGACGTGGCAAACACAGCCACACCCGGTGAAAGGGCGGTACTGACCTATGTATCATGTTACTATCATGCATTTGCGGGGCCCCGGAAGGTGAGGGCACCCTGATGGCACGCTTTCGCTCTGTCAACCCCCCCATTTTATTTCCCATTTTTGATTCTCATTTTTCAGTTGGATTGGCCCTAACTCCTCAAGCTGAATGAAGATAGTATGCTCTATTCCCAGCCAATGATAATGAACTCTAACCAGGGGCGTGTACGGGGCGGGGCCACGGGGGGCACTGACCCCAGCTGGTAGTTGATTGGCCGTGGAGTCCCGTCTGCCCCTGTCACTCACCGATTCAAAGCATATCATTGGCCTCTCCATATGAATTATGGCACCTCTTATGCCTCCCACCTTCCCCAGCTCTAACAAGAGCAGTTTTGAATTGACGGGGAGCTCAGACATCCATCCATCCGTCCATTTTCTGTAGCCGCTTGTCCTGTTCAAGGTCGCGGGGGTCCGGAGCCAGTCCCGGAGGCTACGGGTGCAAGAGCTCAAACATAAATCAGAATTTTCTAGAAGGAAAGAGGTAACTTTAAGGTGGGAGTGGTGACAGTGGTAGTCACTTCTTACCGTGCTTGAGAAGGTACGGCGCAGAGTCTCCATGGCCATACTTTCATTTTCCTCCAAAAATCTGCCATGGTCCTCCTCCCTCTGCAGCTCTTTCTCTCTCCCTCTCTCTCTCCCTCCTTCCTCTCTCTTCATCTCCCTTCTCCTCCTTTTTCTTACCCCCCTCCCCACCCCAGACATTGTCAACACCCCCAAGCCCGACGAGAGAGCTATCATGACCTACGTGTCCTGCTTCTACCACGCTTTTGCCGGAGCTGAGCAGGTAGGGGGTCCTGCAGAGTCCCCCCCCCCCCCCTTACCAAACCTGACTAGAAGCTAACATTTCAGCTCACTCGTTCTGGACCATTCCGCCCCACAAACCCCCACGCCGTTTCGTATCCCCAAAACTCCTTCATCCCTCTTCCCCTTCATATGAGCGCTGCCTTCCTGGAGAACCAGCCCAGGACCAGTGCGTCCCGTAACACATAGGCTGGTTTACCAGCTAATGTTCCCCATTAGCACATCGCTAATAACAATTACTGTGACCGTAACCTTGTATCAGTTTTCTGTGCAGTTCACCACTGTAGGTTTTTTGAATTCGGCACTGTTAGACTAATACCAGCCTAGCAACACTTATGACTTGTGCCTAAAACCTTATTTACACAGTGCAAAAGGCAAAATGGGGAACATTCCTCCATGTCCTCTTGCTGTCCCTTAAGAAAGCTGGACTTTTCCACCATCCACAGGCTGAGACAGCGGCCAATAGGATCTGCAAAGTGCTTGGGGTGAACCAGGACAATGAGAAGCTGATGGAGGAGTATGAGAAGCTGGCCAGCGAGGTACCAGGCCGGGTCATGTGACTTCCTGTCAGACGTTGGCTCAAGCCGCCGTCCTACACAGATGCAGCGACCAACCCTGGTGTCCTCCTCCCCCCACCCACCCCCACATCCCCAAAAGCTGCTGGAGTGGATTCAGCGCACGACCCCCTGGTTGGAGAACCGGACTCCAGAGAAGACCATGCAGGCCATGCAGAGGAAGCTGGAGGACTTCCGCGACTACCGCCGCATGCACAAGCCGCCCAAGGTGCAGGAGAAGTGTCAGCTGGAGATCAACTTCAACACCCTGCAGACCAAGCTGCGCATCAGCAACCGGCCCGCCTTCATGCCCTCTGAGGGCAAAATGGTATCGGTAAGTGCATTGATGCTCCCCATCGCCCCCTAGTGGTGGGAGGAGCTGAAACGTCCCGTTTCTAAACAGCACATAATTTCACCTCGATGCAAGAGGACCACTGTTGCATATTTGTGTTGCAGTTGAGTTATTGCTTTTTCCCTGCCAATGATTCACATAATGATATTCAGGATGAAGGATGCATCATTAAAAAATAATGAAAAGGCATCAGGTCTCAGAAAGAAAACGTGGAATAATGCAGAGTAATAATTCCTCTTTAACGCGGCAGCCATATATCATTTTCAAATTATATGATATATCACAGATGGTAACAATTTGGCTGCGTTTTGAAGCGGCTCTTTATTAAGCAGCTAGTTACGTTTTCGGTCACCACTGCGTCTTTCCTGGCGGCTCTTCTGCTCTGAGCAGGACATCACCGGCGCCTGGCAGGGCCTGGAGCAGGCGGAGAAGGGCTACGAGGAGTGGTTGCTGAGCGAGATCCGGAGGCTCGAGCGCCTCGACCACCTGGCTGAGAAGTTCAGGCAGAAGGCCGCCACCCATGAGACCTGGGCACTGGGTGAGGACCCTTCAGTGCCGCACGCAGGCACAGAGACTGGCTTCACTGATAGGGTTAGGGTTAGGGTTAGGGTTAGGGTTGCACACATGCAGTCCTGCATTCTGGCCGTGCTGCCCGCACCTTTCATGTCTGAAGACTGTAAGTCTGTCTTCCCAATCCCACAGATTGTCCACGTTTTTGCTCCCTCCCAGCTCCCTGGTAGGCAGTCCACATTTGTACCAGCATGCCTGTTTTCCTGTTATTGACAGGGAAATGACTCTTGTCTTTAAACCGGAGTTTCCCAAACTGGCCCTCGGGGACCCACAGATAGTCCGCGTTTTTGTTCCAGGGAGGGAGCAAAAATGTGGACTGTCTGGCAGGGAGCTGGAAGGGAGCAAAAACATGGACTGTCTATGGGTCCCCGAGGACTGGGTTGGGAACCGCTGCACTAGGATCTTCATCAAAGCAGCAACTTTACCTTAGCTTTAACCTCCTTCAAAATGTCCCGACGCCCTAATGCTCATAGTGGTACCTGACTACAGTGTTTCAAATTCACTTCTAAGGGCTGCTTCATTTCAGACACACTGAAATTAGCTTGCCAACAATAATAGGTGAGCCTTCGCTGTGAACGAAAAACGTGAAATCTGGACCATGTTTTGTCTACATGTGACAAAATTATGTCTAATGAGGTTTATATGGTTAATATGTCTAGCAGAACTATTATCCTTGGTTACGTGACCAGTTATTTAAGTCCAGTTAATTATAAGTACTGTTTACCTAGTGACACTTGATTTTAAATGGAATTGAATCTTTTACTGATTTTCAATCTATCTTTTTTGTAAATTTAAATTCCCTGCATGTTAAAATATGCGAGTGTAAAACGGGTAAAAAGCATAAAAGCCTGCACATCACATGTAGGGTCATGCTGGGCCCTCGGCTGGGTTTTTAACCGCTGTAGGTAAGGATCAGCAACTGTCACAGAAGGACTACGAGTCTGCGTCGCTGACGCAGCTGCGAGCTTTGCTCAGGAGGCACGAGGCCTTCGAGAGCGACCTGGCAGCCCACCAGGACCGAGTGGAGCAGATAGCTGCCATTGCTCAAGAGCTAAAGTACGTTCCGCTGCGCTGGCGCACCTCACCCTACCCCCCCCCTTACCCCCCATCTGCACGCATCCAAAAATTCCTCCACATACCTCTCGCTAGAGCGTTAGTCCCTCTTTCTGGAAGAGGGGCTCGTGAGGACCCCACTCGGCAGAAGCTTCTTATCAATGGCTTCCCATTTCCTGGACGAAGGCTTGTCAACAGACGGGGAGCTCCGTCTATTTTGAGCCGTGATGCAGTTTTTGAGGGGAGAGATGGGCATGCCGGCTAGCAAATGGGAGAGAACTAATTCATTTACAGAGTGGTCTCATTAGCGGAAAGTAATTAAACCGGAAAAGACACTTTCTAAAGCTAGCATCACGCTAGCGGAGTGTCCGTGGGGATTGCGTCCTCAACTAACAAATGGTTTTGGAGAATAATTGCACCGCTGGGAGATCTACAGAGCTCTATAAGGTTAATTATGTCTTTACTTCCATTAAACACGAGGACTTGATGAAAAGAATCAGCATGATGATTAGGGTATTGGAACAAACACTTTGGACTGGTACAGTAAGGACGTAAGACTTATAAAAAGCAAACTTAAAAGGGAAAAGTTAAAATGTAAGCATTGGTATGAAACACTGTCAAGTTGCAAGGGGGCAAATAATTAGAATTATGTTGGATTTGGTGCTTGGGGGACAATGATCCCCCCTCCCCCGGGGCTCGTGGTGTCTGGGGATCTAAATATATGACGAGCTGAAGCACCTGCCACTTTCATTCAGTGACAGCAGTGATTGTCCTGCCCACTGCCAGGGGGCACAGAGGGGGGTGCCAACCCCCCCCCCCCTCCTCCACGGAGCCCCCAGTCTGGTGGTTGTACTGTTTGACCCATTCTATTTCAGGACTTTTCTGTCCAGGAATGCTGACCGGCCGGTGGGCTTTGCCACCATACCGCCCGTGTCAAAGTTTACAGGTTTAGATGCCCCTCAGTTCCTCTGTCCAAGTCCTTCTCACTGCCTCGTCACTCCACCTAGAGAGTTGATTGGCTTTCAGGGGGTGGGGGGAGATTTTGGAAAGATAGCTCTGATAATAACATCTCAGTTTTAGTTATACGTTTAGTTATATGTTCAGTTAAACAGTGCTCTGTGCCTTTAAATTTAGAGAACAGTGTCCAGTATGTCAAAGGTCACCGATACACTTGCTATAATGACCCCTGGGCACTGGGTAGTTCAGCATTTATGACCTGGGGAGGATTACTTAACAAAACTGGCAATTCGTCTACAGGCAGGTGATGGGACAGCATCCCAGTAGCTGTTCGGTGTGAGATGAGATAAATGTCTTTGACCTATGATTCAGCTGAATGGCACTTTGAGGGGGGGGGGGGGACACCAGATGGGGGCTTCAGTGCAGTTTTCCCACCTAGGAGCCCCAACCACATGTAATATTTCACACCAGCTATCAGTTACTCTCTGGCTTATAGTGGGAGCAGTAAGCTAGCTGGCCTTGAGCTGTTCTATCTCTGGGAACTGCTAGAATCTAAGCTCTAAGGCATTATTGTAGTAGATCCTTCTGCTAAGAGCTAAAACGAATATAGAATCAGTACTGGCCACTGGACTCTGCAGTGGCCCAATCGCTGGACACCGGCTGCACATGCTCAGTCTGAACCTCATCCACACTGGGTTGTTCATCTGTGTTTCTGACCCGAATTCCTCCAGTAACTTTGGCATGTGTCTTTTTTGACAGGGCAAACCCACAGTTAGGGTGAGCTGCCCCCTTCAGCTTTATAGAGAAAGTTAAACTTCTGGAAGTTTATAAGTGTTTAAGGGATCCAACAGACTAATGACAGGAAATATTGTTTTTTTGATTGAATGCGATTGAATTGCACTTTTTAATGTTTTCATGCCTCAGGGAGTCCAAACAATAAAAGCTTGATTCCTCAGCATTTTTCATGATGTTTTCCTTTTAATATAAGACGAGCAGTAAGGCAAATGATGAAATGTGCGCCGTGCTAAGTGTGGGGGAGGGGGGGAATACTGTGGTGTTAATGGTGTGTGCATTAGGCTACAACCGGTGCAGCTGGTTATGTTCTTGTCTGGCTTATTCTGGCAAATAGCCTTTGGATGGCAACAGGACCTATCTATCCTTAATGCCCCCCCCCCCAGTGAGCTGGACTACCATGCCGCAGCGGCTATCAATGAGCGCTGCCAGACGATCTGTGACCAGTGGGACCAGCTGGGGACCCTGACCCAGAAGAGGAGGGAGGCTTTGGAGGTAGGTCAGTGAGCATGGACCACATGAAGATAATGGTCTGTGAAGGACACTGCAGAAGAGGACACACCATGTACTGGGTTTTACAGTTGAGTGCTGAGGGCATGTTAATGACCCTCAGACATGCATCTACCCAAGGCCAACCCAAGATATAAGCAAACTAAGTGCCTGCTTAGAGCCCAGCGGCCACCAGGGGGCAGCCCATCTTATCAGCCTGTCAGGATGCGAAGGAAGATGACAAATGACAACCAGGTTGTGGGGGGATGCCAGTTCATCAGAGGACACACACACACACAATCATACACCCTGTAAAAACCAATCCATGTAGATGAAGTCTGGTCAATGATAGGAAACTGGAGTACCAGGAAGAGACTCATGAAGAGACAGAGAAAAACACACACAAAAACATGCAAGGTCACACGTACAGAGCCAGGGATGGAAGTCATGTGGCCGGTGTGGAGAATACAGTGCTGTCCTCTGAGTCCCCACTCAATTCTACTGAAACAGATAGTTCACTTTCACCACAGTTAGCACACTGCAGCGTTCGAGGGTGGACAATATGTAGCCTGAATGGATGTGAACCCTTTATTATAATTAAAGTTTCAGAAATAGCACTAACTGTTCTGTGGATCCTTTATGTCCTGTTGTCATAAATGTAATGTGGGAAACAGCGCCCTCTTATGGAATCATCTCTGGATGCGAACTTGTCATTATCTTTCATATAATGTGACATAAATAACTTGCCTGTAATGTATGATTATGTATGAATTTGTGTGTGCCCTGGGTATAGATGGATGTTATTAAATTGTTAAAACTGCATTTTATTTTTGCTTGCATTTTTTCAGAGGACAGAGAAATTGCTTGAGACCATTGATCAGCTGCACTTGGAGTTTGCCAAGAGGGCGGCGCCATTTAACAACTGGATGGAGGGAGCTATGGAGGACCTGCAGGACATGTTCATCGTACACACCATCGAGGAGATTCAGGTGGCCCGCTGCTCTCTGTGACATCACTATGACATCACTGTGATATCGGTGTGACATCACTATGACATCGGCGTGCCTAAATGAAACGCTACGCCACGCATTCAAAGTGTCTCATTCTGGTCCGTCCTTCCCCGACTTCCACAGAGTCTCATCTCCGCCCATGACCAGTTCAAAGCCACACTTCCAGAAGCGGAGACTGAGAGGCAGGCCATCTTCGGGATCTACAACGAGGTGCAGAAGATTGCCCAGAGCTACGGAATCACCAGCAACCTGTCCAACCCCTACAGCGACATCACACCCGAGGAGATTTGCATCAAGTGGGACAAGGTAGTCTTTCATCTCAGACATGACTGACTCAATCACTTCATGAGGCAGGAGACATGATGTAAAGGGCAATCCGTTGTCATGGAGATGGCTGGAAGATTGATGTGCATTATTTAAGCAGGATAACAGAGCAATGCACCATTTGGTGCTGAGAATCTTCTATACATCAGACACGCTTCCAAGTTTCTGGTTCCTCTTATGATTCCACATGTTAGATACAGACATAGTCAGATATAGCAAGATATTGTAAGGGGGGAAAAAAAGATTCGTATTTATTGAATTAGTTATTATTGTTGATATATACTGTAAGCTTGCTTGATTATGAAGGATTGACATAGCTAACACTGCTTAATGTTTTTAACCTTTATCTACATATAACGGTGATTATTTTTATAGCAGGAATTTTTCAAGGTTACCTGATCTGCCTTTCAGTGGGAAGTACCCCGGGAACGTTATGTTAAGTATGTTGTTAAGATAGGACACAGAATTATCTTCGCTCCTGTTTTCTTTCCTTTCCTCTGTTATCTGCATCGTGGCAGTGAATCATTGTGACCACTGAGGCTGGTTTTGTCTCGAGCAGAATGGTGCTAATTTTTTGATAGATGTTTTTTTAGGATTAACAACCATGATGTTAATTTCAATTCAGTCATGTGCTTCCGTACATAGCCGCACCACTGTGTTTTACATGTGTACACTGTTTATAAACATACATAGTCGACTGTGCAAGCTGAAGACCCAGAGGACAGTGGGGTAGAGGAACAAAAACCTCTTCAGTTGGACTAGTAGAGTAAATACCCTGGGAATTTAAGGTCACAAGCTCAACTGAATATGCAAATATGCATCCATCAATCTCCCTGCTGCTTATCCTGATCAGGGTCTCAGATGTCTAAATATATTATTTACTTAACATAAAGTAATTAAGCTTTTAATTGATTGTACTCAGATGTGCTGTTGAACTGCATACTGTTAACAATTTGGCAAAATAAGAAAGGCAGAGCATGACGAGTTGAAGGTTGCTTAGAAATAATCCAGAAAGCACTGTACTTCCCTTCGACTTTCAGACATTTGGGTGATAAGAGTGCACTACCAAGACTGGCCAGCAGAGAGAGTGGGTGTGTAGATTTGTGAAGCCTGTGCACGTGTGCCCGAGCAGGTAAAGAAGCTGGTTCCTCAGAGAGACGGCTCCCTTCAGGAAGAGCTTGCCCGCCAGCACTCCAACGAACGCCTCCGAAGGCAGTTTGCTGCCCAGGCTAACCTCATCGGACCCTGGATCCAGACCAGGATGGAGGTCGGACACTGCTAACCTTTCCCAGTAACAGAATTAAAACAATGTGCGCAGTGGTTCTCAGCTGGTTTAGCCTTAGGAGCTACATATTTCCTTGGTCCTTGACAGGATCATGCGGAGACTTTTTGAGGGTCAAGTGCTCAACTCTCGTGTCCCCAATTTTGCTGACCAACAAAATTTGACCAGGCTGTAAAAAGGGTTACTCAGAACCTCAAAAGGGAGGCAAAATGAACTGGCACTCCGGCACCCCCTGACCCCCTGGTCAATAAGTCACAACCCAAATTTAAAAAATTTTGAACCAAATTTATTTCACAACAAAATAGTGGAGTAATAGCAAATAGAACACAGTACAGTAAAAGTAACAGATTGCCTTTGTCTGCAAATAAAAATAATAAACAAAACAAACAAAAAACCAATAAAACAAAAAAGTCCAGCACTAGAAAAAATGTTCAAAATAATTCGCTTTGAACCACACACTCCGTGACCCAATGGAAATGGTCCCACAACAAATTCTTGGGTCATGACCCCCCAGTTAAGAAACACTGGTGTACAACAGAGGTAGGCAATCTTATCCAGAAAGGGTCATTGGGTATGTGGGTTTTTGCATACCCAATTAGATTACTAATCAGAGGACTGATTAGTTGAAGAGTCCTCATACCTGGGTTTGAACAGCTGACCTAAAGGTTATCCTGAAAACCTGGGCTTTTGAGGAAAAGCATTGGCCTTTTGAGGATAAGATTGCCTACCTATGATGTACAGTATATTGTAATTAGTGATGGCCAAATGAAGCTTCATGAACCATTTGCTGTATTTCCTGACACCTCTAGATGGTGCTCTCTGTTCAAAAAAGGGCTCAATGCATGAAGCAAAGTAAACCAAGAGCGCCATCTAGTGCGGTCAAAACATACAGAAAATGGTTCATAAAGCTTTTATTATTGAAATACTGTAATTACATCCATCTTGAGGTGCTTGATTTAGTGATACACTCATCATTCTTGCTGTCTTCGGGTAAACAAAAAACGAATAATAGTAATAATATCACTGAGAAACACAATGTGAATTACCGAGCGGGTCTAACCGAAGCCACGACCACACCTGGCACCCTGCAGGAGATCAGCCACTGCTCCGTGGAGGTGAGCAGCACGCTGGAGGACCAGATGACGCAGCTTAAGCAGTACGAGCAAGCCATCATCAACTACAAGCCTAACATCGACAAGCTGGAGGAGGACCACCAGCTGATCCAGGAGTCGCTCATCTTCGACAACAAGCACACGAACTACACCATGGAGGTATCAGCCTGCGCCGGGGGCTCTGCACACACCTTGGTTACATTCCACTCGGGCTGGCAGGACTATGCACAATGAGTATTGATAATGTAATATAATCTATAATCATTCATGACTCAGTGTGGTGGTTATCACTGTTGCCTCACACCTTTGGGACCAATGTTCAAGCCATAACTACATATGTGTGGAGCTTGCATGTTCTCCCCGTTTCCTCGCTGGGTTTCCTCGAGGTTCTCCAGTTTCCTAATCAGTCCAAAACCATGTTAAAGTTAATTGGAGTTAACAGATTGTCTGCTGGTATGAATGGCATGTGTGGCATGTGGGCGTCTTGGGTTATTCCCGACCTTGTGCCCATAGCTTCTGGGATAGGCTCTGGTCCTCCATAACCCTGCATTGGACAACAGGTACAGAAAATGGATGGATGACTATTTATTATATAACAAATGAATAACCAATCAATGTTAGAGTAGTTTATGACATCATCGGTGATGTATAGTGGCTAAAGTTTGAGGATATAATAGTGAACTTTTCCAAAGAATAGAAATGTTTTAGTGACAATAAAATTATAGCAATGAGTTATTTCAGAGTTACTTGTTTTATAATTTAATCTAAATAACAGGAGCTACTATCTCCTGTACCTGTATGGACCAGTCCCCTCTGGTGTGTGACCTGCTTTCAGTGTTAATAGCCAGACTTTCACCAGTACCATGACTCAGAAGTATTGCAGTAGAATGGAAAATATGTAGAATTTCTATATATAAACAGTTTATTTTTTTAAAATGTCAGTGTGCATCTCTTATTTGTGTTATGGGAGAGTGACTATGGTGAGGACACACCCTGTAATGTGGTTTGGCACCGCCGGTCAGGGTCATGCCTGTGACATAGCGGTATGCCGGCTCTGAGCGCACTTCCCCATCTCCCCTCACGGTGGCAGCATATCCGAGTGGGCTGGGAGCTGCTGCTAACCACCGTCGCCCGGACCATCAACGAGATCGAGACGCAGATACTGACCCGCGACGCCAAGGGCATCAGCCAGACCCAGATGAAAGAGTTCCGCTCCTCCTTCAGCCACTTCGACCGGGTACACTGTTCCGGCCTGAGGGCTTCCTGCAGAGTTTGCCTTGGCAGTATACCTACACGGAGCTTGGCGTATACCCCTGATTATTGACATGCATGTGCCACTCTGACAGAGCAGCCCAAAAATTAATAGTTTAATAATTAACCATTTGAAAATGAATTAATTCCACACCTAAATGTTCACTCGATATATACTGAAGTAAAGAAGCTGAAAGGAAATTAAAATGAAAATCAGAGCCCACGGCAGCTGCAGTAAGATGCTATGAACAGTTTGACTTGCTGAACAAGTGAACAATAGAAGAGAAAATTTCCAGAACTCACCCAGTCCACTGGGTACCAGTTCAGACCGTTTCTGTGGACTTTTGAAAAGTGAGTTTTGGAAATTTTCCAAAAGTTCTTCTTTGGATTACATGAGGACAGTGAGTTCTGGTTCCCAATACGGTAACATATGATGAGGAAGCGTGACTTTAGGTCATTGGCCGTCTCATCTCAACAGCAACAAAAAAAAAGGACTGTGAGTGAGTTTTGGAAATTTTGCTCTTCGATTCAGCTCCACTCTGTGGTCAGAGAGCTCCAGATGGACAACTTGCTGCCATTCCTGACGATACTAGTATCTGATGACCCAGTAAATGGCAAATCCACACACGCCACCTTTGTTCACCTGCTAATCAGAGCTAGCTCCTGATCTCTAAGCTGAGTAAACACCACCGTGTGCCCTCTGCTCTGCATTTCCCCAGCTAACCTCACTAACCCCAGTGACCGTTGCCCCCTCCCTTTCCCTCCCTCCCCGTGGATGCCATGAAGCATGAACCTCCGCAGCTCTAGGGTGGCTCGTGTCCGTGGTGCGCCTGAGGGTTCCGGCCCGCGCCGGAAACGGTGAGCAGGTACCTCGCCGTGCCACCTGGTCCCCTTTCTGCCGTGGTTGACACATTGGTGTCCCCTTTCCGAAGATCCGCGTAGCACCCCTGCCAGGAGTCCGTGACAACAGCAGATCCTGCGAATCCTCACGATCTGTGGCTCGGATGATAACTGAGCCCTTTCCGTTCCCCCGGCTCTCGCCGCATTCATCCCACACGGGAGCGTCGGTTTCTGAACCAGCCGACTGCTTGCTTTTCCATGCAGAATGATGGATTTTCTCATCATTTTTGCATGATTTTAACTCTTTCCATTCTTGTTTGGTCTCCAAATTGCTGTTGAAACAATCAGCAGAAAGGGAATCTGAATCGATATATAAATCGATATTTATATAGTGCTATGAACACACCAGCTGATTCCCTCAAAGAAATGTCATCCGGCAAAAGTAAACACACTAAAACGATTCTCTGCTCTCTGTCCATCTGTCCTACTTGTCGTCTCTTGTGTCCCCATTTTCCCTGTCTGTCTGTCCTGTGTGTGTCATCCCTGGCCTGTGTGTCCATGTGTGTGTGTATCTGTCTGTCTGTTTCAGCGGCCTCTCTCTCTTCTCTGCCTATGATGTCGCCCTGGTCCCTGTCCGCTTCCCCGGTATCGTGCCCCCTCCTCCGACTATGTCCCACAGAAGAAGAAAGGAGGGATGGAGACAGATGACTTCAGAGCCTGCTTGATCTCCATGGGCTATGCTCTGGTAAAAATATTGCACGTGCCTTCATGTGAAGTCTCACACAGAGGCAACAACCCAACAGGGGGCACAGCAAAGTACGGATATATAAACTGCTTTCACATTACCTGATTTTGCCTGACACAAATATAGAAAAAGTTGCATCAGCAGTTGATGCAAGAGGACCATCTTACTTTTTAGGACATGTGATATCCAGCTGCTGGTGCCAGTCAGTGCACGGAATTTGGAACAGCTGGGGGAGTAGTCAACCGGGCCAAGTATTTAGGGCTGTCCCAATACGTGCATATATTGCTCCACACACTTACAGGTGCAAACTCATTTGACTATTATTTTAGTTATATTACTGCTGAAGATCCCTTGTGCACCGGAGTGCGACATTAAGGTATTTCCTTAGTGTTGATGAACGCCAAAAGGTTATGGGTGAGCTTTCTACTTCTCTGAGACATCTGTTTGTTGAGGATAACAGTCCAGGCCATAGCTGGATGGATGGGAGGCCAGCCCGCTCTGGAGGCCATTGACTCTAAACCGGCTGCGTTCCCACTTGGCAGGGGGAGGCGGAGTTTGCGCGCATCATGACACTGGTGGACCCCAACCAGACGGGCATGGTGTCCTTCCAGTCCTTTGTCGACTTCATGACCCGGGAGACGGGCGACACCGACACGGCCGATCAGGTCGTGGCCTCCTTCAAGATCCTGGCCACTGATAAGGTTCTTAGCCGCTCCTCAGCCCCGCCTCCCCCCTCACACTCCCAGGGCCGGATTAAGCCATCACAGAACACTAGGCAGACAGATTACTTTCTGGGGCCCCTCCTGTCAACATACTTCACACACACTCATTCTTATAAGCATGTCATGTGAGAGACAACCAGACAGTGTTCCATTAGTAGCTTAGTTGTGCCATCAAAACATTGTCCATTGCTTTAATTTAGTGTTATTATTCTTATTTATAAATCATATATATATATATATATATTGTGTATACCTATGTGTGTTTGTGTTTCATGACTTTATATCTCGCACCCTCAGAGGACCTAAGGGGGCAGTGTGTCCTCATTCGCTGCTAACCCCTCATGTCTGTGAGAGAATGGAAAATAGTTGCTACCAGAACACTGATAAGACACAGGGGAAAAAATGCTCAACTGAAAGCTGCTCCTTTTCTGACCGCGATAAATGCGGCACCTTCCTTCCCCCACAGCCGTACATCCTGGTGGAGGAGCTGCGCCGCGAGCTGCCGCCGGACCAGGCCGAGTACTGCATCATGAGAATGCCCCCCTACAACGGGCCCGATAAGGTGCCGGGAGCGCTGGACTACACGGCCTTCTCCACCGCCCTGTATGGAGAAAGCGACCTCTAGTGGTCGCCTGTCTCATGCTGCCTTCTTAAATCCCCCTTTCCACGACTCGCTTTTTTCTCTCCTCTCCCTGTGAATCCTGAACTGCATAAAAAGAAACAACATGTTATGCAGTATGGATAATATATTAACGTGTGGTACCTCGTAGTCCTTAGTATTTAAACGCAATGTTAAAAACGTTAAAATCCAAAGGGATCACGTGCTATAGAAGCACAAAGATGCAAGAAGAGTTAACCGAAACCTACTCTCAAATCTCAAAACATTAAGTAAATAACTTTAAAGAAAGAACTTGGTGCAGCACACTAAACACCAGAAATAACAATTTACGCTCGTGCCTATGTCGTCATTTACACAAACCATGATAGACTTCGTCCAAAAGGAAATACACAGGCTGTCCCTGGTAGCGTTCATTCTGCTCCCGTACTACTCTAAATTGTGTTTGGGACACTATGTACCGTAGAAGAATGAGCCAGAACCGGTCAATCAATAGTTAATGTGTTAATGTTAAAACGCATTGTAAAATTTGAGCAAACTGTTTGTACTTTTCCACAGACTCGAACGTAAAATAAACCCAGTTAAGAAATTTAATCGTTTCATTGTTTTATTTTATCATTTACTGGCTTTATACACGCGAACGTTTTAATATTATTCGTTCAATAATGCGACTAACAGCAAGCATTTCTAGCTTCTGTGTAGCACCACAAAAGTAATCACCGAAATTTCCTAACGATTTACTATGCACTGAGAGCCCTTGTCTAAACTCAACAGAAGGGGCGTGACTCAGTGAGTCACCGGGTACTGCTTTGTAAAGACTGACAACGTGGCGCCTGTTCAAGTGCAGAGGTTTTATTTTTTTTAGCAAAACAAACCCAGAGATTGTGTGACCTGGACGAACAAGGATGAAAACTATGATCCAGCATGTTCACACAATCAGATTATTATCCAGCGTGGATAAATGGTCAAGTCCACAGCGCCGACACAGCCACCCTTCCGTGCCACACACGTGCGACTCGACGCATGCGCTCTGCGGTCGCCGGTTGCGTGCCGCTCGCGCCCGATCCCTCAAGGCCGTCCGAGAAAGTTGCGCGTTCACGGACCAGAAAGGTGGCGTTACGCGCTTACCTCGCGGCCCCAAGGCGACAGCCTGGAAAGTTACAGTCGGATCACGGATTTGCGGGATGGCCCCAACCATACACGAGTATTCATCCGGACCGGGTATGAACTGTGCACGAAGCGTGCTGTCCGCGCGTGCCGGGGCTGCCACTCTTCCGCGTGCTGTCTGCGCGTGCTGTCGCTTACCCAACCTGGGACTGGACTTGACTGTCACGTATTGCCTAGTCAAGTACCGGAATAACATGCCAGTTTTGTAAAACGAAAAAAAAACTAAATGCATGCTAGCGAACTATAACCGCGTGTTTGTTTAGCTTGCAAAATACTATTTAGGTTGTTAGTCGGCTGCCACCGCGTGTTGCAGTAACATTATATCTGCTGTGTAATTCTGAACTTTGCCATCATTATCTGCTAAGTAACATGGATTTGCTGCCATATTCTTTTACTACTTGTCTACCAAATATCTTCAGTATGGGTATAGTGACAGTTAACATTGGCACTGGTTTAATTAACTTGCTTGATAATGAGAATTGCTAGTGAGAGAAGACGCGTGTCGCCTTTGTATGAATCTTGAAATTACATACAGCTCAGGAGTAGATAGTTGTCTTGCCAGAGATGTGTTCCGACAATTTAGTGAGATATTTTGGATTAATAATGATGATCGCTTTACGTGGTACCGTAATGCTTGGAGATGCGCGACATGCTGACAAATGGCAACAGCGGGTTCGTTTGCTGGAGCGAGATAAGACGAAAAATGTGAAACAGGTGGCCTGGAAGATGAGCTCAAGGAGGTGCTCCGGAAGAGAGTTATGGTCCTCGATGGTGGGATGGGCACCATGGTGCAGCAGAGGAACCTGGAGGAGCAGGACTTCAGAGGGGCGGAGTTTCAAGATCATCCCAAGAGCCTGAAGGGCAACAACGATCTACTGAGCATCACTCAGCCCAGCGTCATCTACAAGATCCATAAGGTACCATACTGTTAATGTCGCTGCTCCACTGCTCAGACGCTGGATCCAAGCCCTGCATTGCCTGATGTCCACTTAAAACAAAAAATAATCTGTAGAATAGCAATTACAGTTTAATATTCATGTCAAAGTCATAGCAAAATGATCACCTCAAGGGGTCCATGAAATACAATTAAAAGTACATCAAAAGATCATGGTAATCCTTTAATCTCTGCGAATGGGTTAATTTATAATTGCACACATTTATTAAAAAGGTTTTTACAGTTACGCTACATTATTTGTTGTTGCAGCTCTAATCATTTTGTGGCAGTTCTTATGCAGCAGAAATAATCCTTATTTACATGTGCTTCTTCCAATCGCTCTTGCAGCACAGTAGGCACATGTGTGCAGGACAGTGTTTATCCTTTAAGAGACTAACAAGTGTCTTCTCTGCCATGCCTGTCTGAAGGAGTACCTGCTGGCCGGAGCTGATATCATTGAGACCAACACGTTCAGCAGCACAAGCATTGCACAGGCTGACTATGGATTGGAGAATCTGGTAAGAGAGTGGCAAGTCAGGGGCCTCTGTGATTGCACCGTTTGCATATCTTTGGTAATTCTTAAGGTGACCATTAGGTGGCCATATCTTCAGATGAAATTGCAGAATCAATGTTTTGGCACAGCCCCTGTGCAGTGTCCCCAAGGCCAACCTCTATGTTTATTCTGATCCCACCCACTGTCCACGATTGGCTGACATAATCTGACGCCGCACGGTTGGTCAGCAGCACTAATTATGCCGTTACCAGCATGCTTTTCACCAAATAGTGAAAATTCAAACGCTCTACCCGTATAATGTTTGTCATGGAATGCGTGCATTTCATTAGTGTGCGACTGTGAGTGTACTTTGAATTCTTGGCCTCCCCGTCTGTGCCATTGCTAGATATAAACCAGTAACGTTTGCTAATAAAGACAGCAGCTTCCATCTTACAAGGGCTGTCGCCTCCTTATGTGGGTCTGCTGCATAGAAAACATACTGCGCTCTCTAGGGTTGTGGCGTGACGCAGAACGAACAAGATGGCAGCATAAGTATGTGGTTTGAAGTGAATGGTCACATGATATCGGAGGTCCGTTGGGTGATTATTTTTGCAGCTGTGGGCAGGGCGTCGAGCCGCCTTCTAACGGGTGCAAAGCCGCGAGCAGAACATGCTGTTTCACTTGCTAATACGTGATTTGTGCCACAGGCGTACCGTCTGAACAAAACATCTGCTGAGGTGGCCAGAAAGGCGGCGGATGAGGTCACCGCGCAGACAGGTTTGTCAGGCTCAGCTTCATCCCAGCCCCAGGGTGACTAATTACCAGTTTAAACCGGTTTGGAAAAACTAACCTGAACAGAGGCATTACAGCTATTTTCATAGTTAAACCTTAGTGGTTTTATTAAAATTGAGACGTTGAGGAGAGCTTAGAGGATGGAGGCTGTACCAACCACCCAGGCATGACTGTCAAAAATATAAAACCTTTAACGTGTCATTTTAAGAGAAAAGTGTCTGCATTTGAGGAAGAATTAGAGGTCAGAAGGTTGGCTCCCCGATGGACTGACTGATCCCTCTCTTCAAACACTGATATCTTCTGTTATGTCGCTGTGGTACCGTAGACAGAGCGTAACTTTGTAATGGTGACTTTTTATTTGAAAGGTGTCAAGAGGTATGTGGCCGGGGCAGTGGGACCCACCAACAAGACCCTGTCGGTGTCCCCCTCGGTGGAAAGGCCGGATTTCAGGAACATCAGTATGTGCCCTTCGCTGTCCTTAGCTCCCTGTCCTGGGGCAATTTTAGGATACTTTTAAGGCTGGGGGCATAAGAGGGGCCATAATTCATATTGGAGGGCAGACCTTGTCATTAGCCAATGATATGTTTTGAATCAGTGATTGACAGGGGAGGGGCCACTCTGGGGGCCAATCAGCTTTCAGCTGGGGCCACGCCCCTGTCATGTGTTGTCTCTCTCAGCTTTCGACGAGCTGGCGGACGCCTACTCCGAGCAGGTCTACGGCCTGCTGGACGGAGGAGTGGACCTTCTGCTGGTGGAGACCATCTTCGACACTGCTAATGCCAAGGTAGCTTTCCCCTACCCTGGTTAGAATTGGACTTAGTTTTAATGGACTTCAGTGACCTTCTCTTTGACCGTTCATCGTCCAGTCAACTGGAATTACAGGGGAGAAGCAGTGATGATGCCGCACGGACACTAGCAGTCCCAGTTATATCAAATACTCAGGGCCTTACTCATGGGCCCAGTGGTGAAATCACTCTGCCTACCCTGGGATTTGAACCAATGTTCACACTACCCTAAGGGAATGAAATGTGTCTTTGCATTTGTTTTTGTTTCATAGCAAGCAGCTAATGTTCCTCTTCTTATTTTTCAAAAGGCAGCCCTGTTTGCAATCGACCGGCTCTTCGAAAAACAATACGAACGCAGGCCTATCATCGTAAGTCCGGACTTTAACTGTTGTTAATATTCGGATCAGATCAGGTCTGATAAACTTTCTGCATCCCCACAGACAAATTCTGGTGCATGGAGCAGCAAAGTGCATAGTGCACAGACAGACGTGCATATAATGCCAAACAGACATGGTGCACAGACAGCGCACACACAGAGTGAACAAAAAACCCTGCACAAATACTGAAAAACAGAATATTAAGGAATATTAATGAGATAAATAAATGTTGGAAAAATAATTAGTGGATAGTGTCTGAGCAATTAACAAAAACAGATATCAGTATGTGTTGCGTTTATTTTGCCACGTGTCGATTTATGGATGTCATGGATGTCACGTGTCGATTTATGTCGGGTCCATAACCCTCCACCTCTCGGGACCCCCGTTCGCCGCCTGCCAGGTTTCCGGGACCATCGTGGATAAGAGCGGCCGCACCCTCTCGGGACAGACAGGGGAGGCTTTCGTCATCAGCGTGTCCCACTGCAACCCGCTCTGGTGAGTGTGGAGCAGCCAGCACTGCAAACCCTGGTGGTTGGGGAGCGACTTTCGTAGAGTCGGCGATTACGCTGAGCAGTCCCATGTTCCCATGTTACCGGCACAAACGTATTTCACTAAGGCAATTTATTCACTGTCATTAACCTAGCTAATACCAAGCACTTCCTCTCACTCTGCTCCTAGTAAATATTTAGCACTTAGTTTATAATCAGATAACGTCGACAGTCAAATAGTCGGAGAGCCATCTAAGTTGTACTGTAGATGCTGTGGTTAAGCATATTTCAGTATCTGGTTTAGTCCTCGATACAAAAGGACTTAATGATAAGTATCTAGTAATAAATCTGAAGTTTAAAGTTTAATTTCATAGGCAGAGAAAATGTCAATAACATCCTTTATGCAGCGATGAAGAAAAATAAGAGAATTATATTTAAGCTTCAGCTTTAATGGTGGCTGAGTGGATTCATGTTGAAATAGCATTAGGGTATTTATTACTGTGATTTCTGCTGTGTCTGTCTCTGTCTCTGTCTCTGTCTCTGTCTGCTCTTCTGCCC